AATAGGTGGTAAGTTACTAAATGCTGTAAAGAGTTTTTATGAGGATAGTGAGGCTCAGGTTAGGGTGTGTACAAGAGAGGGAGACTACTTCCCGGTAAAAGTAGGTCTTAGACAGGGATGTGTAATGTCACCATGGTTGTTTAATATATTTATAGATGGGGTTGTAAAAGAAGTAAATGCTAGGGTGTTCGGGAGAGGGGTGGGATTAAATTATGGGGAATCAAATACAAAATGGGAATTGACACAGTTACTTTTTGCTGATGACACTGTGCTTATGGGAGATTAATCCGTTCCTGAGAGTTCATCGTAAAATAAAACTATCGGAAAGCGAATCAATTTTCCCAATAAGAAATAATGGAAATCAAATTAATCCGTGCAAGACACCCAAAAGTATGAAAAAAAAAAACTTTTACCACATCAAATATTAAGTTTAATGCAATAGAATAATTACAATAACAACAATAACAATAGAATAATTGACACTTACCTTTAATGAAGATCTGGTAATGATTGATGGGATGGGAGGAGGGGAGTGTGTGGGTGGTGTTAGTGTTTAGAAGGGGAATCCCCCTCCATTAGGAATTGAGGTAGCAAGTCCTTTCCGGGGTTACTTCCCTTCTTCTTTTAATGCCACTAGGACCAGGTTGAGAGTCACTGGACTTGTGTCGCACAACATATCTGTCCATAGAGACCTGTACCTCTCGTTCCTTTATGACTTTCCTAAAGTGGTTCACAACAGTGTCATTGTACAGGTTGCCAACACGGCTTGCAGTAGCTGTCTGAAGATGATTTTCATCAAAAAAGCTTTGCACTTTAAGCCACATTGCACACATTTCCTTAATCTTTGAAGTAGACAACTTCTTCAATTTCTCTATCCCCTCCTCTGGAGCAGTTTCCTCAGGTCTGGCCTCTTGCTGTTCAAGATGATCTAGCTGCTCATCAGTGGTTAGTTCATCATTGTCCTCCTCCATCAACTCTTCCACATCCTCCCTACTAACCTCCAACCCCAAGGACTTCCCCAATGCCACAATGGATTCCTCAACTGGCATAGGCTTCTCAGGGTTAGCCTCAAACCCTTCAAAATCCCTTTTGTCTACACATTCTGGCCACAGTTTTTTCCAGGCAGAATTCAAGGTCCTCTTAGTCACTCCCTCCCAAGCCTTACCTATAAGGTTTACACAAATGAGGATATTCAAGTGATCCTTCCAAAACTCCTTTAGAGTCAATAGAGTATCTGTGGTCACTTCAAAGCACCTTTCAAACATAGCTTTTGTGTACAGTTTCTTGAAGCTGGAAATGACCTGCTGGTCCATGGGCTGCAGGAGTGGAGTTGTATTAGGAGGCAAAAACTTGACCTTCATGAAGCTCATGTCCCCAGAAAGTCGCTCTGCCAAGTCTGTAAGATGACCAGGAGGTACTTAAGGTCTAATTTCTTAATTTCTTTTAAATTAGGTCATTTTTCACATTGGGGGCAAATGCATGGTGTAACCAGTCACAGAAAAAGTCCCTAGTGACCCATGCCTAACTGTTTGCCCTCCACAGCACACACAAATTAGCCTTGAGGATATTCTTTTGCCTCAACGCTCTGGGAGTTTCTGAGTGATACACCAATAAAAGCTTCACTTTGCAATCACCACTAGCATTGGCACACATCAGAAGAGTAAGCCTGTCTTTCATAGGCTTATGTCCTGGGAGTGCCTTTTCCTCCTGAGTAATGTTTGTCCTGCTTGGCAATTTCTTGCAAAATAGGCCTGTTTCGTCACAATTAAACACTTGTTCAGGTTTCAATCCTTCAGCCTCTATGTACTCCTTGAATTCATGCACATATTTTTCAGCTGCTTTGTGGTCTGAACTGGCAGCCTCACCATGCCTAATCATACTATGTATGCCACTACGATTCTTAAATCTTTCAAACCAACCTTTGCTGGCCTTAAATTCACTCACATCACCAGTAGTTGCAGGCAATTTCTTTACCAAATCGTCTTGCAACTGCCTAGCCTTTTCACAAATGATCGCTTGAGAGATGCTATCTCCTGCTATCTGTTTTTCATTTATCCACACCAATAACAGTCTCTCAACACTTTCTAACACTTGCAGTCGCTGTTTCGTAATCACAGTTGCACCTTTTGCAAGAACAGCTTCCTTGATTGACGTTTTCCTGCTCATTATAGTAGAGATGGTCGATTGAGGTTTACTATACAACCTGACCAGCTCCGACACATGCACTCCACTTTCGTACTTTGCAATTATCTCTTTCTTCATTTCAATAGTCATTAGCACCCTTGGTCTCGAAGGGATGGCACTAAAAGCTTTCTTGGGGCCCATGGTGACTTATTTTGCAGAAACAAGCACAAAAAACAGTGATAATATGGATAATATGGAATGTACCAAATGTATCCTTAGATGCATGCACACTGGCTGGCTTGTAAACATTGGCACACATGGGGCAGTTCAGGCCACACGTGGACACGTCTCATACGAATCGCATTGCATACCAGGTTTTGTAACGGGAACCGAGGCAAATTTTTTTCGATATAATGCATCGGTTACCGGATTTATCGGATACCGATAGCATCGCGAACCGGGGGTCCACTGTACTTGTCTCACCCTAGATTAAGACTACAAATATTTTAAGGTAAGTAATGAGTACACTGTGTGTGTATTTTAGTTTTTTATTGTTTTTTGATGCCTAGTTCTATTGCTAACTTAATATATGTTAGTGTAAACTTGTTATCTAGTATTTGTATGCATTTATAAGTGGAAAAAAAAGGGTGTTCCACTTTACAGCGATTTCCGCTTTACAGCAGTAGCCTGGAACCTAACCTGCCGTATAAGTGGGGCCCTACTGTATATGGAATATGTGGTAAGTTACTAAATGCTGTAAAGAGTTTTTATGAGGATAGTGAGGCTCAGGTTAGGGTGTGTAGAAGAGAGGGAGATTACTTCCCGGTAAAAGTAGGACTTAGACAGGGATGTGTAATGATACCATGGTTATTTAATATATTTATGGATGGGGTTGTAAAAGAAGTAAATGCTAGGGTGTTCGGGAGAGGGGTGGGATTAAATTATGGGGAATCAAATAAAAAATGGGAACTGACAGTTACTTTTTGCTTATCATACTGTGCTTATGGGAGATTCTAAAGAAAAATTGCAAAGGTTAGTGGATGAGTTTGGGAGTGTGTGTAAAGGTAGAAAGTTGAAAGTGAACACAGAAAAGAGTAAGGTGATGAGGGTATCAAATGATTTAGATAAAGAAAAATTGGATATCAAATTGGAGAGGAGTAGTATGGAAGAAGTGAATGTTTTCAGATATTTGGGAGCTGACATGTCAGCAGATGGATTTATGAAGGATGAAGTTAATCATAGAACTAATGAAGGAAAAAAGGCAAGTGGTGCGTTGAGGTATATGTGGAGACAAAAAACGTTATCTATGGAGGCAAAGAAGGGAATGTATGAAAGTATAGCGGTACCAACACTCTTATATGGGTGTGAAACTTGGGCTGTAAATGCTGCAGTGAGGAGACGTTTGGAGGCAGTGGAGATGTTCTGTTCAAGGGCAATGTGTGGTGTAAATATTATGCAGAAAATTCACGTGTGGAAATTAGGAGAAGGTGTGGAGTTAATAAAAGTATTAGTCAGAGGGCTGAAGAGGGGTTGTTGAGGTGGTTTGGTCATTTAGAGAGAATGGATCAAAGTAGAATGACATGGAGAGCATTTAAACCTGTAGGGAAAGGAAGGCGGGGTAGGGGTCGTCCTCGAAGAAGTTGGAGAGAGGGGGTAAAGGTTTTGTGGGCGAGAGGCTTGGACTTGCAGCAAGTGTGCATGAGCATGTTAGATAGGAGAGAATGGAGACGAATGGTATTTGGGACCTGACAAGCTGTTGGAGCGTGAGCAGGGTAATAATCAGTGAAGGGATTCAGGGAAACCGGTTATTTTTATATAGTCAGACTTGAGTCCTGGAAATGGGAAGTACAGTGCCTGCAATTTAAAGGAGGGGTTTGGGATATTGGCAGTTTGGAGGGATATGTTGTGCATCTTTATACGTATATGCTTCTAAACTGTTGTATTCTGAGCACCTCTGCAAAAACAGTGATTATGTGTGAGTGAGGAGAAAGAGTTGAATGATGATGAAAGTATTTTCTTTTAGGGGATTTTCTTTCTTTTTGGGTCACCCTGCCTCGGTGAGAGACAGCCGACTTGTTGAAAAAAAAAAAAATGTATGTGATTGAACCAGGTGTTCAAATTCATTTATCAGTGTGAACATGTGTTTGTGACAGAATGATTACTAATTCAGTACCAAACATTTGTATCTCAACAAGAATTGGCTATGAAATCAAAAGATCTGCCACAAAACATTATTATCATAACATGAAAACAACAGAAAATAGAAAAGAATTGGAAAAAACGATGAATGTTTATTGTTTCTGCAAGCGAAGTGCTCCATGTTGCCGGCACCTCATCACTTTAGCACCAACTTCGCGGGCTTATATCTCAGTAAGTACTGGCCCTAAAATTTGTTTTAATCCTGTAACATTTATAAAAATGCGCTCTTCATTGAAAAAAAAAAATCAAAATATTCAGTGCTACACGAGTGAACATAGATCTATGTTTGGACAGTTTAAGGGTTAAAAGACCAGGTAACGGAACTCAAGGTATATCCAATTTTAGGACGTGATGGCAAACAAGGAACTGGAGAGAAATACTGACACAATGGTAACAGACACACAAATGCTCTATATTATTATTACTACTATTATTGCAATTAAGTAAATAGTTAAACCTGAAAGGGACAAATGCAATATAATGCAATCCTTTACTGATTATATTTTTCCTACACAGTGGGTTTTATCAAGTCCTAAAGAGAAGACTTGATGAAGCCCATAGTGTGGGCAAGGTCCCATCAAAAAAGAATCACGCTTATTACATTTATATCTTCTCGAACAGCAGAATTATTGTAATCTGCACATACAAATACGTACTGAACTGCATTTGTAACTTACTGAACTTAGCGAGTGCAAACTTTCCCTCTGGAGAGCTTCCAATATGCGCCACTGTTTGAACGGCTATTATCTGCAGTGTGGCATCACCTAAATCTAAGGATCCTGATGCTAGATGAAGGACCATCAAAACCACAGAACCATATTCCTGAACCATCTGTCGGGGTCGAGAATGGCCCACATTTCCGAAGAACTTTATCAATCCTGAGAACAAATATAATGCAAGAAATCATGGACAAAAATATCCCAAACCTAAAAAATTACCAGATATTCAATATGAAATATAATAAAAATTTTAACGGCAAAAACTAATTATTAATTTCCAAAACACCAAGAGATCATATTATCTAATAAATATAGTATGCATATCCGAGACTCGTAAGAATAAGTCTGAGATAGTCCATAAATGAAGTGACAAGTATAAATCATCCTGTAATATGTAAGACAAACAAACAGCTATAGAAAAGGCTCATTAACATTAGAATTTTCAATATAGTACAAATATTTCATATACGTACGTAATTTACCTTGAGCAGCGCTAAACCCGAAACAAACCTGGCATAAGGAGTGCAGCCATGGGGTCTGTCTCAGCAAGTGACAAAAGGTACTGAAGTTTTGCAATTACTCCCACCCGATCTAAGAGAACCATTCCACTGGGATTCAGAGCTAGAGTAGTGAGCAGCTCCAAAGCATTCAGTTGTGTGAGGACATCACCTGTCGTAACTTCTACAGCTAGGCGCTCGAGTAGCCCCAGGTTAGACACCAAACCCATTGATGTGTCTCCTAGTAGACACACTTGGACCACAAACTTGAAAAGGAACACATGTGTATATTGTATATGAGTAATATGAGTTTTCTAAGTCATTTTAATAAAATATTTAAACAATATACAGTCAAAAAATCTAAGCTGATTAATATTATTATTATGATTAGATTAACTTACCAGCCGTCTCCCACTGACGGAGGGCGACCCGAAAAAGAAGACACTTTCAACATCATTCACTCTATCACTGTCTTGGTAGAGGAATGCAGATACTACAGTTCAAATGTTCCTCCAAACTGCAAATATCCCCACCCCTCCTTCAGAGTGCAGGCATTCTACTTCCCACCTCTAGGACTCAAGACCAGCTAACTAGTTTCCCTGAATACATTACAAAATGTTACCTTGCTCATACTCCAACAGTTTATCAAGTCCCAAAAACCATTTGCTTTCTATCTAACACAGTCTCACATGCCTGCTGGATATCCAGGCCCCATGCACACAAAACCTTCTTTACCCCTTCCCTCCAACTTTACCTAGGGTGACTCCTACCCTGCCTTCCCTTCCACTACAGATTCATACACCCTCCAAGTCATCTTATCTTGCTCCATCCTCTCTAAATGTCCAAACCACCTCAACAATCCCTCCTCAGCCCTCTGGATAAGACTTTTAGTAACCCCCCTCACCTCCTCCTAATCTCCAAGCTACAAATTCTCTGCATAATATTTACACCACACATTGCCCTCAAATATGACAACTCCACTGCCTCCAGCCTCCTCCTCACTGTAACATTCACAACCCGTGCTTCACACTCATATAAGTGTTGGTACCACTATACTTACATATATGTCCCCGGTACACTTTTTCTCTTAGTATATTTCAGTTCCAAGCTCAATGCACCCACTTTTTCCCTAAGAATTTGTGGTAATAGTCATTTCAGACCCCCAAACTATGACGTCCGCACTACCAAAATACATAAAGCCATTGAGGTGATCGTTCGGGGTCATGTTTCCCTTTGCCTTGATAACATTCATGTCTCCAAATTCCTCAATGTTTGTTCCCCTCATCACTGTTCGCAGTTTCCTCCTATGGTCCACTCTTAACATTCACTTTCCATGTTCCTATGCCGAGTTTGTCCGCTAATTTGTTTGTTCCTCTCACCGGATGTTCACTTAATAGTTACATACTCCAGTTTGGTCCACTAATCTTTACATTTCTCCAATTGTTCCAAATACAATGCATTGGCAAAAAGCATCTGTGAGCATTCCACTTTGTTTGTTCTCATAGTGAATCCCCTACATCACTTCTTAACCATCTATAATATGTTAAAACAACCATGGTGACATCATGCATCCCTGTCTAAAGTCTACCTTCACTGGAAAACAATCTCCCTCTCTCCTATATACCTTAACCAGAGCCTCACTATCCTCATAAAAACCCTTAACTGCTTTCAGTAAACTACCACCTGGAAATAAATGGTATAAAATACCGACACAATGGAAATATAAACACATATGCAGTATAATGTGATCCTTTATTGACTATGTTTCGCCCACACAGTGGGCTTTTTCAAGTCGCAAACAGATCTACCTGGGGTGGAAGGGACACGAGTATTTATAGTCAGGTTCAGAATGCTGAGGTCAGGTGGAGAATCCTGCATCTGATGATGTACCGAGTGGGGTTATAGAGTCTAAAATCTTGGGTAGCTTGGAAAGGAGATTGGATAAGTTTGTGAGCAGACCTTCTACAGTGTAGAAGGTCTGCTCACAAACTACCACCTATTTGATACACTTACAAAATCTGTCACACTGCTCCTCTATCCACTCTAGCACATACCTTATCTAAAACCATGAACGAGACAAAAACTTCCTTACCTTTGTCTAAATGCTGTTCACTTATATGCTCCAATTTAACCCTTAAACTGCTCAAACGTAGATCTATGTTTGGACAGTGTAAGGGTTAAACACTTAGTTTACACTCACCCTTCCTTTCCTGAAGCCTCCTTGTTCATCAGTGAGCCTGCTCTCCATCTTACACTTAATTCTTTCAATAATAATTCTACCATACACTTTACCAGGCTTATTTCCCTATAATTTTTACACTGTTTTCTCCCCTTTTTCTTTATACAAAAAACGTATGCATGCTCTCTGTCAATCCCTAGGTACCTTCCCTTCTTTTATACATTTATTGAACAGAAGTACCAACCACTCCAAAACTTTATCCCCGCCTCCTTGTAACATCTGTCTTGATCCCATCAATCCCAGCTGCTTTACCCTCTTTCATTCTACACACTGCCCCATGAACCTCCCCAACATTCATAACTGAATCTTCCTCACTCCTAGATGTTATAACTCTCTGCCCAGTGCACAAAATCACAGCTTCGCTCTCTTCATCAACATTTAACAGTTCACTAAAATATTCCCATCATCTTTACAATGCCTCCAACTCCCCATCCAATAACTCCACTCTTCTGTTTTTAAATGTTAAATCCATTTGTTCCCTAGGCTTTCTCAACCTGTTAATCTCACTCCAAAACTTTTTCTTATTCTCAGGAAAATTTGTTGACAGAACCTCACCCACTCTTTCATTTGCTCTTTTTACATTCCTTCACCACTCTCTTAACCTCTCTTTTACTTTCCATATACTCCACCCTCCTTATATCATTTCTCCTTTGTAAAAACCTCTCATAAGCTAACTTTTTTCTCCTTTACCACTCTCTTCACCTCATCATTCTACCAATCACTCCTCTCCCTCCTACACCCACCCTCCTGTATATATAAACTTCTGCACACTTACACTGCATTCTTAGATCTACCCCATACCTCTTCAACTTCCTTATTATCTATACTCTCACATGCCCATCATCTTTCTCTCAATAGCTGCTTATTTCTTACCTTAATTACCACCAACTTTGGTTTATAAACTTTCACTTCTCTCTCTTATTCGCTGATGCCATTTTCCTTCTGCCCCATTTACCTCTTACTTTACTATAGCTACAACTAAATAATGATCTGATATATCTGTTGCCCCTCTGTAAACATGCCCATCCAGAAGTCTACTCATCAACCTTTAATCCAACAATACACGGTCAAACAAACTACACTGGACCCTCAGTTATCGGCCATTCCGGATATCGGCCAATTAGGTTTTCGTCCACTTTTTTGGCTGATATTCTATCCCGGTTATTGGCCATTATTTAGGAGATCGGCCATATTGGACATGTCCACCCACCGCTCTGCCGCATTCAAGAGTCAGTCTGGCTGTGTCTCTGGGTGAGTGAGGAAGCCTCCACGCATTCATCCAAACATTTCGCTATAATCCATTGATTTTAGTGGTTAGTGATTGAGTGCAGCTAAGAAATATGGCACCATGGGCCCAAAAAGAGTTCCTAGTAAAGTTCTTTTGGTAAAGAAAGTGAGAAACACGATGGAATTTAAGAAAGAAATTGTTGAAAAGTATGAGAATGGTGTATGTGTGCTTGAACTTGCCAGGATGTATGGGAAATCCAAATCAACGATCACTTTCATCCTGGCAAATAAGGTAGAAATCAAGGACGCTAATGTTGTGAAAGGCGTAAATGTGCTCATGAAACAAAGATCACCAATAATCGAAGATGTGGAGAAGCTATTGTTGGTGTGGATCAACGAAAAACAATTAGTGGGAGATAGTGTTGTGGAATCGATCATTTGTGAAAAGGCAAGGCAGTTGCATGCGGATCTCGTGAAGAAATGCCTGGAACGAGTGCTTCTGTTAGTGAATTTAGGGCCAGCAAAGGCTGGTTTGAGGGATTTAAGAAACATAGTGGCATACACAGTGTTGTAAGGCATGGCAAGGCTGCAAGTTCTGACATAATGTGAGGCCGAAACAACTGTTGATGAATTCAAAGGGTACATAGAGCTAAAGGATTCCTCCCCCAACAAGTGTTCAATTGTGATGAAACAGGCCTCTTTTGGAAGAAAATGCCAAAGAGGACCTACATCACACAGAAGGAAAAGGCACTGCCAGGACACAAGCCTATGAAAGACAGGCTTACTCTTTTGTTCTGTGCTAATGCTAGTGAGGATTTCAAAGTGAAGCCTTTACTGATGTATCACTCTGAAAATCCCAGTGTGTTCAAGAAAAAAATGTCGTCATGAGTAAACTGTGTGTTGTGGAAAGCTAATAATAAGGCATGGGTCACAAGGCACATTTTCATTGACTGGGTCCATGAAGTGTTTGGCTCAAGTGTAAAAATATACCTCCAGGAAAATAAATTGACACTCAAGTGTCTCCTGGTACTGGACAATGCTTCTGCTCATCCTCCAAACTTGGTAGACCAATTGTCTGTGCAGTTAAGTTTTATAACAGTGAAGTTCTTTCTTCCTAACACCACTCCTTTTATCCAGCCCATGGACCAGCAGGTAATTTCAAACTTCAAAAAACTCTACATGAAAGCAGTGTTTCAAAGGTGCTTCGAAGTGACTGCAGACACTGACTTAACCCTAAGAGAGTTCTGGAGGAATCACTTCAATATCCTCCATTACATAAGCCTTATAGGTAAGGCTTGGACTTTGAACTCTGCTTGGAGAAAATTGTGGCCAGAATGAATCCTCGACAAGGATTTTGAAGTGTTTGAGGCTGACCCTGACGACCCTACGCCTGTTGTGGAATCTATTGTCTTTGGGGAAGTCCATGGGGTTGGATGTGAGTGGCAAGGATATGGAAGAGTTGGTGGAGGACCACAGGGAAGGGCTGACCACTGAAGAGCTGCAAGACCTTCACCTGGAACAGCAACAGACTACAGCTGAGGAAATTGGTTCAGAGGAGGAGGAGGAAGAGAGAGGGGAGAATGTGCCTTCTTCAGTGATTAAGGACATTTGTGTGAAGTGGAAGAAAGTGCAAATTTTGTTGAAAAGTATCACCCTGACCAAGCTCAAACAAGCCATATTTGCAACATGTTCAGTAACAAAACCTTGTCCCACTTCCAGCAAATCTTAAAGAGATGCCAGAAACAGAGCTCTCTGGACATTTTTTTTTTTTGTGCGACAGGGGTGCAGTGACTCTCAAGC